TTTTTTTGAAAAGTGAACAATTCTACTTATGTAACATAAGAATAAAGCTATATATAGGGCTGAGGTTGTGGCTTGGCGGTAGAGTGCACACTTAGCACATGTAAGATCCTGGGTTCAGTCCTCAACACCACATCAGGATAAATAAATAAATAAAATAATGGTTTAAATAAAAGAAAGAATAAAGCTTTGTGGTATTATTCCATTGTCAGTATTTAAAGCTTGGCATCCTTTTCTCAGTTACTTTACCATTTGCTTATCAGTTATGCCATAATTTAACATTGGATTATTGATATTTTGATTTGGTTTGTTTCAGTGAGTAGTCTTACCATTTTTCTTCACTTTACTTTTAGCTTTTTAAACGAAGAAATGTGGAGCTGATTAATGAAGAAGCCGCCATGTTTGATAGTCTCCTCATGGACTCCTATGTGAGCTCTACAACTGGGGTAAGGCTCTTGTATGTGCCTGATGCAGACCAGGGACATATTTGCTTCTACAGAATAGAAATTGGATGRTTCATGTCATTTAGTAGCTTTGCCAATAATGCTAAGCTCTTTCTTCCATGGGCCATTTTATAGATGGTCAGAGTTTGGTTGTTTTTTGTTTGTTTGTTTTTTTTGGTACTAGGGATTGAACTCAGGGGTACTTGACCATTGAACCACATCCCTGGTCCTATTTTGTATTTTATTTAGAGACAGGGTCTCACTGAGTTGCTTAGCGCCTCACTGAGTTGCTTAGCGCCTCGATTTTTGCTGAGGCTGGCTTTGAACTCGCAATCCTCCTGTCTCAGCTTCCCAAGTCACTGGGGTTACAGGCATGCTCCACCTGGTCAGTTGAAAGAGTCAAAAAGGATTTATGTCTGATAGAAACACCTGAGGAAACATAAGAGAAGCCATTTTTTGCTTCAGAGATTAGGAATCACTTCTAAATATTCCAACTTGAAGCAGCCGGGGGTTAAACGAACGCTCTCTCCTAAGCTACTATGCCATCCTCTTACCCTAAAATTTTTAAAAGAAGGATGCCAAGCAAGAGTGTGTGCTCACAGCCGGGTGTRGTGGCGTATGCCTATAATCCCAACGGTTCGGGAGGCTGAGACAGGAGGCAAATAAAATACAAAATAGGACTGGGTATGTGGCTCATGGTCAGGTGCCCCTGAGTTCAATTCCTAGTACCAAAAGAAAAAAAAAAGTGTGTTTATATCTTTGTTCACATTTGGTTCTGGTGTTGGTTTGCAAAGTCCTAAACTTGTTTTATATTCTAGGAGAGTGTGATCACAAGAGAGATGGTGGAGATGCTCTTTTCTGATGATTCTGACTTGCAATTAGCAACCACACAGAAATTCCGGAAACTGCTCTCCAAAGGTATAAAGTCTAGTCATTTTTGAAGAAACCCTATATGATTTAGCTTCTTTCCTTTCACTAGTATCAACTGTTCTGCCTCTTGATTATTCTGCTCTAACCCTTCTGGCTTTGGCATTTCTCTCTTTTTTTTTTTTAATTATTTTTTTAATTATAGGTGGACATAATATCTTCATGTTTATTTTTATGTGGTGCTGAGGATCAAACCCAGGGCCTCATGCTTGCAAGGCAAACGCTGTATCACTGAGCTACAACCCCAGCCCCCTACCTACCTTTTTATTTCACCCTTTACTTCTATCTAAAAATGTCAAGCTGGGGGCTAGGGATGTGGCTCAAGCGGTAATGTGCTCGCCTGGCATGCATGCGGCCTGGGTTCGATCCTCAGCACCACATACCAACAAAGATGTTATTTCCGCTGAAAACTAGAAAATAAATATTGAAAAATTCTCTCTCTCTCTCTCTCTCTCTCTCTCTCTCTCTCTCTTAAAAAAAATAAATAAATAAAAATAAAAATGTCAAGCTATCCCCTACACTCAGCAGTTTTTAATCTCCTTACTTATGTCCTTCCCCCCCCCATCTCTACAGGCAATTGGGATTTCTTACATAAAATAGCATAGTATTAACCTATACCTATCCTCTGGTATACTCTAGGTTCATCCCCAGATTATTAAATACCTAATACAGTATAAATTCTATGTAAATAATTGTTAMATTATCTAGGAAATAATGACAAACAGGGAAAAGTCTATATAGATTTTTTTTTTCCCTTTTGGTACTGGGGATCAAAATTCATGGCGCTCTACCACTGAACTATATCCCAGGGTTTGCAAATATTTTTGACAGACATTTGGTTGATATACAGATGCAGAGGGTAAATATACTTCCTTTTTTTAATATTTATTTTTTAGTTTTTGTTGGACACAATATCTTTTTTTTTTTTTTAAAGAGAGAGAGAGAGTGTGTTTTTTAATATTTATTTTTCAGTTCTCGGCGGACACAACATCTTTGTATGTGGTGCTGAGGATCAAACCCAGGCCGCACGCATGCCAGGCAGACGCGCTACCACTTGAGCCACATCCCAGCCCTGGACACAATATCTTTATTTATTTATTTTTATGTGGTGGTGCTAAGGATCGAACCCAGGACCCCGCAAGTGCTTGGCAAGCCCTCTACTGCTGAGCCACAATCCCAGCCCAAATATACTGATTGTGACTCTGTGGTAGAGCGCTTGCCTAGCATGTGTGAGGCACTGGGTTTGATTCTTAGCATTGCATATAAATAAATGAATAAAATAAAGGTCCATCAACATCTAAAAAAATATTTTAAAAAATATTGGTTGTGTGAGCTGGGCACACAGTGGTGCATGCCTATACTCTTCATTACCCCCACCCCCACAAAAAAGGGGGGCAGCCTGCCCCAGTACCAAAGGAAAAAAATAATAATAGTWTGAATATATATGATGTATGATAGGAAAAATACTTCTTACTCCAGTATATTAAGCATTCCTCCCAAGAAAGGACTACTGGTCTTAGAAGGGAAATGTGCTCATCCTTTGGACTTTCTTCTTTCCCTTATCATTTTGCACTTACATTCATTCAGTAGATCAAAGTAAGCATATCTAAATTAGGAATGATTTTATACTTCAGCATGACACCTATATTATGCAGTTCAGAAATGAGAAGGTATTTTTAAAACAATCTTACCAAAAGAGTATTTGGGAATGTTTGTAAGGGTGGTCAGAAATATCTAAGAAAGATTGTGAATTCACCATAGTAAACAGATTAGCCAAAGCCTCTCCTTACTTTTCATCTTTCCCCCTCTTAACTCTTCCAGAGCCTAGTCCACCAATAGATGAAGTTATCAACACTCCAGGAGTAGTTGATCGGTTTGTAGAGTTTCTGAAGAGGAATGAGAATTGTACATTACAGGTAAAGCCTAGGGGAATGCATGACCAGATGAAAGCCCTTCATCCAAGAAATTACAGTGAGATGTTTCTGCATCTCTCAGGAAATAGACAATAGTAATATGAAGAAACATTTAAGGGAATTGTCAGTTTCCCTCAGAGGTCTTGGCTTCAAAGAAGAGAGCCAAAATCTCAAACAATCTCAGTGTGCCAGGCATTGTGGTACACGCTTATAATCCCAGCTGTTTGGGTGGTTGAGACAAGAGGATCAAGTTTTAGGCCTGCCTGGGAACTTAGCAAGACCCTGTCTCAAAATAAAAAATAAAAAGGGCTGGAGACATACTCATGATAGAATACTTAATTAGCATGCATGAGATCCTGGGTCTGAACCCTAGTAGGAAAAAAAAATTCTCTTAAACTTAGCTAATGTGAGGTAACATTAGCCTCACATTAGCTAGATTTAAGCATTTCCCAGTATATATGTACTTCAGAGTGACCCATGGTGGTATGGTGGTGCAGGATTAAATAAAGCCCATTTAAGCCCAGTTCCATCTTCACCATGTGTCAGTGTCATATCAGTGTTCTTCCCCCAATTTAAAGTGGGGAGGGGAGAGACTTGTGTTTGATTTTGTTTTCACTCATGGGCAAGAGGCTTAGTGTTTTGAACCAACTGGTAGGCATGATTGCTCAGACCTCTCAATCATGGCTTAATCTCACTTTCAGTTTGAAGCTGCCTGGGCTCTAACAAACATTGCCTCTGGAACCTCTCAGCAGACCAAAATTGTCATTGAAGCAGGGGCTGTTCCCATTTTTATAGAGCTGCTTAACTCGGACTTTGAGGATGTACAGGAACAGGTACATTTTGCTAAATTCTTAATGGCATCAATAATATAAAAAGTGTGTGTGTGTATCTTTGTCCCGGTTCTTGGCGTAGTGCTCTTAAATTCGTGGGAATTTTCTGAGTGATAAGCATCTTTTGTTGCTTATAGAACTCCTTTGGAACACACCTGAATATATGGGATGAGTGACTTAGAGGGGAACCTCTTGGTAGCCTTCAGATGATTTTGGTCACCAGAAAGATGAAATGTAGGATTAAAGGGTGGGAACTCAGCCCCACCTCCCACACATATCCCCAGGAAGTGGTATGAAGGAGTCTGGAGATGGGATTATAAGAACTCTTGAACAATGGAACTTCCTGGGTTGGCAAGCACATCCATGTGCTAGAAAAGTGTCAGAGGGCACGGAGGCTTTGCATCTCCACTCTCTCCTACTCCATACCTTTCCCCATGCATCTCTTCCATTTGGCTCTTCCTGAGCCTTATCTTTTATAATATACTGGGTAAATGTGATGTTTTCTTGAATTCTCTGTGTCATTCCAGTTAATTACCAAATCTGAGAAAGAAATGTAGGAATCCCCAGTTTTATAGTTGATCAGTCAGAAGTACCAGGTGGTTCCCTAGGGCTTGTGACTGGTATCTGAAGGGGGGGTGTCTTCTGGAACTGACCTGTGGCATTTGCTAACTTCAAGAGTTAGTGTCAGAATGAAATTATTGGACACATAGTGTCAGATAATTGTTAGTGTGGGAAGAATTCCATATATTTTGTGTCAGAAGTAATGTTGGAAGAGACACAACAGTAATTCAGTACTCACAGATTATGGAGATAAAGGTAGGACTTCCAGGCTGAGCATAGTGGCTCAAGCCTGTAATCCCAGCGATTTAGGAGGCTGAGGCCAGAGGATCACAAGTTCAAAACCAGCCTCAGCAATTTAGCAAGGCTCTAAGCAGTTTAGTGAGACCATCCCAAAATAAAATGGGCTAGGAATGTGGCTCAGTAGTTAAGCACCACTGGCTTCAATCTCTAGTATCAAAAATAAAAAGAACTTCCATTTCCCCCACTGAACTTTTGCTAGTTGAATGGAAATGGAAGAGTAGTTAATGGGATCTTTCCTCCATTGCTATGTATAGAGTTGGCTTCCAGGATGGCTATTAGAATACAACTTTCTGGTCACTTATTTTCCTGGGGTGTCAGGATGGTGGGTTCTGGATTTGGTTTCTCTGGAGACAGCAGTACTGTCTTCCTCTACTGAACCATGACTTCCTAAAATTCCTTGTAGAACATGTGCTCAATAAGGACTTTCACAGGGAGGTTTCCTGAGCTTGTTTAGTATGTCTCAGGCCTTGATTGACATTGTTCTCAGCCTACTGGGTATTCTGCAGGACTGAATACAAGGTTATTACAGAAGGTACCAGGCTCTRTTGATGACAGTTTTATTATCCCCTTTTCAGGCAGTCTGGGCCCTAGGAAACATAGCTGGAGATAGTTCCATTTGCCGAGATTACGTCTTGAACTGTTCCATCCTTAATCCTTTGTTAACGTGAGTAATTAAAATTATTTGCACCTGGGGCATCTATAGATGGCCTTGTGCCAGGTCATTTGGGGACAATTTACTTGATCTCTAAAGATAACAGATATATACAAAAACCTTAGAAGTGCATTCCGATCCTCAAAAATTTTATCTTTTACTTTACATAAAAGATACATTTTGAGACTAAGAAACTTTTGCCCCTGGTCTGTGTTAAGGAATGCCATGTTCCTTAACCTCGTAATTCTATAGAACCTTATGTTTGTCATATCTGCTTCATTGAACCAAGGAGAAAAGAAATCCAACCTTCTCTAAAATGTATTGATTTGCTGTAGGGTTATTCATAGATACATTGGACAATTTTGTTGTAAATCATAGATCAAAGGCCCCATGAAAAGTCATCTAGGCCCCTCTCTCATTCCCTTCTCCACCCCATATTAGAGTAAGCTACATCTAAACCAAAAGATATGAATGAACTTCTCTTGCTCATAGACTACCAGTGTCACTTTCTTGAGAATGGAAAGTGATAGGAAATCATTCCATTACTGCCTAACACCCTCCTACTCTTTGTACAGGAATTGTGCACAGACTTAGGGGCACAATGTGTCCTACTTAAAATCTTTCAGGCTTACTTAAAGTCTGTCCTCTGTTTGGTCCCTGTTATCTATGGTGTTAACTAGCCACAGCGGTCCTCTGCAGAAGCCAGCCAAATCACTCTATTAGTTTAGTTCTATGAGAAAGTGGCTGCTAGAGTCTTAGGGTCTGATTGGATTTCTCCCCTTCCTCTGGGGTTTGAGCACCTATGCCAGGGCATCAGTGCTTAGAATCTGGCTTTGCTCTTTCCTTCAGACTCCTCACCAAGTCCACACGTCTGACAATGACACGGAATGCAGTCTGGGCCCTGTCAAATCTCTGCCGAGGGAAGAATCCACCCCCAGAGTTCGCAAAGGTAAGAGAGCTGCTTCTCAGTCCCTAAGGATAGTTGATTCATCATGTGGAGTTTTTAACGTCTTTAGATTTCCCTTTGAGTCTCAAATCTCAGGAGTCAGTTGTTAGTAAAGTAGGTGATCTTGCATGCCTAGATGGTAAAAGTGAAAAGTAGGCCTGAGGTTTAATAATAGAGATCCCCAGGATCTAGAATTACTTCTTGGGGCAGGGGTTAGCAATGTTAGTGTTAGTAATAGAGCTGATGTAACCCTGTCCCCGTGTGAGTCCTTCTCACTCTGCTTCCAACAGGTCTCTCCTTGTTTGCCTGTACTATCTCGCCTACTCTTCAGCAGTGACTCAGACTTACTGGCAGATGCTTGCTGGGCTCTCTCTTACCTGTCTGATGGCCCCAATGAGAAGATCCAAGCAGTCATAGACTCTGGAGTCTGCCGGAGATTGGTAGAGCTTTTGATGTGAGTGGTTTCAGGGTAAAGGTTCCCAAAGGTTCTCCAAGCTCATGCCAAAGAGCTGCAGCTAGCAGTTTGTTGTCCTACTCAGGTGTGGAGGCATGAGGCTGTTACCAGCCCTGGTGATCAGCAGTGCTGAATATGGTATGCTGGCTCTCCACTGATCAGATCTTCTCCTCTGTAGGCACAACGATAACAAAGTGGCTTCTCCTGCCCTGAGAGCTGTGGGTAACATTGTCACTGGGGATGACATCCAGACCCAGGTAAGGAAAAGGAATGTCTAGTATCCTAACTAAAACTAATTATAATATTTTGGTTTTTTGTTTTGGGGGGTTTTTTTGGTGGTCCTAGGGATTGAATCCAGGGTCTCTTATGTGCTGGGCAGGTACTCTACCACTGAACTACATCCTCAGTCAATTCAGGCCAGCTATGGGAGAGCATTGTGGAGAACTTTCCTGCCTGATGGAAGGTGGCATGGCATAGCATAGAAAGCATAGTCTTGAGTAAAACAATTCCAGCTCTGCCAGCTCTATATGATCACAGTCGATTGGTTTCTTCATTTCTTCTACAAATCAGAATCTGATAATCATCATCCAATTAGTTTTTGTGAAAGAAAACAAAATACAATAACTGCACTGAGTGGGATATTATAAAGTTAAGTCTGAGCTGTGATCCTTTTGAGATATGGAAACCTACACCCCTCTATCCTAGACCTTTAGGAACCCATCGACATTACCTCATGTTAATATAAGCACCTCCAAGCCAGGCGTGGGTGTAATCCCACTGACTGTAGAAGCTGGGACAGGAGAATTGCTTCAGCCCAGGAGTTTGACATCATTACAGTATTCTTTCTTTAATTTTGTTTTGTTGTTGTTTTTCTGGTACTGGGGATTGAATCCAGGGCCTTGCCATATAGGCAAGTACTCTAACTGGACTACATCCTCAACCCAAGCCTGAGTTTGGGACTACCCTGGGCAACATAGTGAGATCTCGTTTCAAAAAAAAATAACCTCTAGGTGATCATGATGGTACATGCCTATAATCCCAGTGACTCTGGAGGCTGAAACAGGAGAATCATAAATTTGAGAGCTGCCTCAGCAACTTCTGCCTTAAGTGATTTAAAAAAAAATTTTTTTAGTTATAGATGGACACAATTTCTTTATTTTGTTTATTTTTATGTGGTGCTGAGAATCRAACCCAGTACCTCACATGTGTGAGGTAAGTGCTCTGCCACCGAGCTGCAAACCCAGCCCCTGCCTTAAGTAATTTAGTGAGAATCTCAGTAAATAAAGAATTGGGAATGTAGCTCAGTGGTAAAATGCCCCTGTGTTTAATCCCCAATACATACATACATACATACATAAATAAATAAATAAAAGAAAACCTCTCCAGTGAGGACACAGTAGCCAGTTTCCCCTGGCTAGAGGTATAGGTATTCCACAGAGGCTCCAAAGGCTGAGAGAGGAGAATCCCATGTTCAAAGCCAGCTTTAGCAATGGCGAGGCACTAAGCAACTCAGTGAGACCCTGTCTCTAAATAAGATACAAAATAGGGCTGGGGATGTGGGTCAGTGGTTGAGTGCCCAAGTTCAATCCCTGGTACTTCGCCGTCAAAAAACAAAAAAAAAGATATGGGTATTCTTGTAGTTGGCATAATTTTGTGGGATTCCTTTTTTTTTTTTTTTTTTTTTTTGCTTAACCACTGATCCACATCCCCAGACCTTTTTGATTTTATAAGTGAGGAATCTCTCACTCACACACATACCCTCATTTTCTAAATCATTTTGTGTATGTGTGTGAGATGTGGGTATGTGCATCCATGTATTTGCATGCTGTACTCAAAACATTAAGATATCACAAAATTTATCATTTTAGCCATTTCCAAGTCTATAGTTCAGTGACATTAAATATAGTCACATTGTTATTCAGTCATCACTACCATCCATCTATAGAACTTTTCATTGTCTCAGACTGAAACTCTATACCCATTACACAATAACTCCCCATTCTTCCATTGTCTGTACTCTAGTAACCACCATTCTACTGTCTGTGTGACTTTGACTTCTATAACTACCTCATATAAATGGAATTTATTTTGTTTGGATTATTTCACTTAGCATAATAAGTTACTCCTTCTGGGTTCATCCATGTACCATGTGTCAATTTCCTTTGTAAGGTGAAATAATATTCCATTATATGTATATGCCACATTTTTCAAATCCATTGTCTGTGGACATTTGGGTTGTTTCTACCCTTGAAGCTTCTATGAATAATGCTATTACAGACATTATTATTGTACAAATATTTGTTCAGGTTCATGTTTTTGCTTCTGTGGGTATACACCCACCAGTGTAATTATTGGATGGTTTTATGTTTCATATTTATTGTTTGTTTGTTTGTTTTGCAGTGCTAGGGATTGTGCCCAGGAGTACTCTCTCTGTATTACATTCCTGTCCTTTTAATTTTTTGAGACAGACTCTCACTAAATGCCCAGTTTGGCCTTGATCCTGCTGCTTCAGCCTCCTGAATAGCTAGGATTACGAGCATGGAGCACTACACTCATCTATGTTTAATTTTTTTTTTTTTTGAGGAAACCATCATATTGCTTTTTTAGCTGCTACATCATTTTGTATTCCAGATTCCAGTGTGTACCAGGTTCTCTACATCYTTCCAACACTTGTTATTTCTGGAGTTTTTTGTTGTTTTTATAACAACTATCCTAATGGGTATAAAGTGATATCTCATTGTGGCTAGATTTGCATATCCCTAATTAGTGATGTAGAGCATCTTTTTGTGTGCTTATTTGACCATCTAAATATCTTTCTTGGAGAGAAGTCTATTCAAGTCCTTTGCCTTTTTTTTTTTAATTGAACACAATATAATCTTTATTTTATTTATTTTTATGTGGGGCTGAGGATCAAACCCAGGGCCTCGCACTTGCTAGGCGAGCACTCTACTGCTGAGCCACAACCCCAACCCTTCTTTGCCTTTTTTGTTGTTGTTTGGGGAAGGTACTTGGGGGTTGACCCTAAGGGTGCTTTACCACTGATCTATATCCTTAGTCCTTTTTATTTTTTATTTTGAGACAGGTTTTTGCTAAGTTGCTGAGGTTCTTACTAAATGTGCTGAGGTTGGCCTCAAACTAGCAGTCTTACCTCAGCCTCCCAAGTTACTGGGATTGGAAGCATACACCACCACTTTCATTTTTATTTCTTTTTCATATTTTTAGTTGTAGATGGATACAATACCTTTATTTTGTTTATTTAGTTTTATATACTGCTGGGGATCAAACCCAGGGTCTCACACATGCTAGGCAAGTACTCTACCACTGAGCTACAACCCCAGCCCCATTTTTATTTTTTAATTGGTTATTTAGGAGGTTATTTTGTTATTTAGTTGTAAGTTCTTTTTTGTACTGGATATTAATTATCAGATAAGTATTTTCTCTCTGTGGTTGTTTTGGTACTGGGGATTAAACCCAGGGACACTCACTCAATCACTGTGTGCTACCTTCCCAGCCCTTTTTATTTTTTATTTTGAGGCAAAAATTGCCTAAGTTGCCCAACTGGCCTTGAATTTGCAAATCCTCCTGCCCCAGCTTCCCAAGTATGCACCACTGTGCCTGGCTTGTTTATAAGTCTCAGTACACAACCTTTTAAATTTTTATTAAGTTCAAATATCTGATTTTTGTTCCATTTTCTATTCTTACGGTGTTCTAGGTCATTCTTAACTGTTCAGCCCTCCCTTGCCTCCTCCATTTGCTGAGCAGCTCCAAGGAGTCAATCCGGAAGGAAGCTTGCTGGACCATTTCAAATATCACTGCTGGCAACAGGGCTCAAATACAGGTAGAACAAACAGAGAAATTGAGGGATCTGGGGATGCATCAAGATATGGAAGTCCAGAAAAACAATGTTTTTTCCTTTAGAAATTGGGTTCAAGGTCCTAGGAGTGGAGCTCAGCAGTGGTCCTCCTGCCTAGCATGCACAAAATCTTGTATTAGATCCCAGCAACCTTCCCCTGCAAAAAAAAATAATAATAATAATAAGTAAACCCAGAAATTGTAGTYAGTGTGCTATTGGTCAAAGATCCTGTGTAGTGGAAGCTAGGTTATCTCATATGTGGGAAAAACAAAGAACTCCTAGGCAGAGGATGATACCTAATTCTTAACTCATTTTTGAGCTGGATTTGCTTTCTCTCCTTGAGCTGACTATCTCCCTCCATGCCCCTTTCCTCAATTCTCTTTCAAGGCTGTCATAGATGCAAACATCTTCCCTGTGTTGATTGAAATCCTTCAGAAAGCAGAATTTCGTACAAGGAAAGAAGCAGCCTGGGCCATCACCAATGCCACATCAGGAGGAACCCCTGAGCAGATCAGGTATTATATTCCTCTCTTGAATGATATGTGTTTTCTCCTTCTTTGCTTATAGTTTACAAATATCCTATAAACTGCTTTTACTAGGATAGTTTTGCCACTGGGTGCAGCTGCAATAAGTTTTAAATGGTAAGCTGCTACTGTGATAATGGAATTTGGAATAGATTCCTATAGACCATGACTTATAGTGCCTCTTTTCCCTCCCTGAGAATAGAAACCTTTGGCAGAGACACAACCATCCCTCCCCTACCTGAAATCAGTGTAGTTTCCATTATTCATACACCTAAATGAACTAGACAAAATGAACTAGACCAATAACTGGCAGGCTAAAGAGATGGATGACTCAGAGAAGGGATGGATAACTCAGTAAGTGTGGATTGCTGGGCACTGGGGCTGTAGCTCAGTGGAAGAGTGCTTGCCTAGCCCATGTGAGGCACTGGGTTCAATCCTTAGCATGTTTTTGTTTATTTTTATGTGGTGCTATCCAGAAAAAAGGGGGCAGGGTGTAGATTGCTGAGAATGTTGACATGTATGACAGAAATCCACAAGACAAGCACCCGCCTAGCACTTTACTTGATCTGCATTAATTTTAAACTTGCCTCATCTCTGGCCCCTAGGTACCTGGTGTCACTGGGCTGTATCAAACCGCTGTGTGACTTGCTGACTGTGATGGATTCAAAGATTGTGCAAGTGGCCCTCAATGGACTAGAGAACATTCTTCGGCTTGGAGAGCAAGAGGGGAAGCGCAGTGGCTCAGGGGTCAATCCCTACTGTGGCCTCATTGAAGAAGCCTATGGTATGTTCCCTTTTCCTGACCTCACCTCTCACTTAAGTGGAAAGATTCTAAGTTAGAACCTGGGACTGTAGGCCTCCAAAGCCGAAGACAAATATGTATGTTGAGGGGGAGAGGGGTTAGCAAGCATCCATAGCTTACGTGAGGCTTGTCTGTCTCCAAAACCAGTGAAGAACTCCTATGCTAGCCAAGTTCTGCCATCCAGAGGGTTTCAGATATTCCTGAAGAAGCAGGCACGTACTAAGTAACGAGATAGAGCTAAGATCTGTATCATGTTTCAAATCCAGAGTTTCATTTAATTTTTTTTTTTWAATATTTTTTTAGTTGCAGTTGGACAAAATACCTTTATTTTATTTATGTTTGTTTCTAAGGATCAAACCCAGTGCCTCACATGTGCTAGGCAAGTGCTCTGCCACTGAGCCACAGCTACAGCCCCATCAAATCCAGGGTTTTATCCCACCAGTCCCTTCTCCCTCTGAGGAGCAGTGGATAATTTCTTTTTCTTATTGGCTCCACCTGATAAGTAGGTATGGTACAGATGGGAAGATAAAGATCCAAAACTGATAATAGTACCAGGAGCTAGAAGGTATGTGTTTCCAGCAGAATTTCTAGTACATTCCCATAAGAGTGCTGGATTGACTCATCATGCATCCATGATAAGAGAAGCAAATAATGATTTGCCCAATCTAGTTTAAAGCAGAATCAGGACTAGAATATCTGGTTTTTAAGTGATATTTTGGTCTCATTCCTGTGGGATTCTGTAGTTTAGGCAAGAGAGCTTGACTCTTTTAGGTTAAAGAGCAATCATATATTTTTGTGTTTGTTAACATTAAATGCCTCATGAAGGAAAAGTTCACAAATGTTCATAGACCCAAAGAAAAGTACTTACACTTCCCTCTCCCTCCTTCCTTCGTGCCACCATAGGCTTGGATAAAATTGAGTTTCTCCAGAGCCATGAGAACCAGGAGATCTACCAGAAGGCCTTCGATCTTATTGAGCACTACTTTGGTGTAGAAGACGATGATAGCAGCCTGGCTCCCCAAGTGGATGAAACGCAACAGCAGTTCATCTTCCAGCAGCCTGAGGCCCCCATGGAGGGCTTCCAGCTATAATGTCTGCCTCCGGGGAGGGGAGGGAATGGGAAGCACCACCAACCAGCAGAGGAGCAGCCCTYTGGTGGGCGGGAAAACAGTCCCCCCACCATCAGCCACCACACACCTGCTGCCCTGGAGACTGTGYTCTTGACCTGCTCCGCCCCCTTCCCTGGAGGGAGCACCCTCTGGACTGACAGAACCATCTGAGGCTCACATTTGGGTTTTGTGACAAGAAGGGGACGTGTTGGGTTTTTCTTCCTTACACTATATTTTGGCTGCACACATGTCTTTAACCCATGAGCCCAGGGGTAGACAAAGGAGGACTGAGGTAATCATTTTGCACCTTTTTTTTTTTCTTTTTATCTTAGTGGTGACTTCCTTCCTTTTATCTTCCTTCATCTTTCCCAGTCCTCTGCCCTTATCTGTGTAATTCTTATCTTGGGTACTTGAGCAGATGGAATATTCCAGAGGTGGGAGGTGGGAGGGGAAGGGAGAAATCCAAAACAAAGTGTTCTTGCTCTGACAGAATATTAATCTTATATGCTTGGATTGAGTTATTTAATTTTTTTTTCTTTTGCACATTTTTCTTGTATTAAGGTTGCTCTTCCTAAGACCATGAGTTCCTGATTTTAGGAATCCCAGCTGCCAGCATTGTCTGGGACTAGAGGCTGATGGGGAGGCCATCATGAGATATAGGCCCCTCTCTCCTCTGAACATTTGCCCAGACCTCTTTAATTTGGGAGACCCCCTCACTCCCCTGGGGCAAGTACACAGTGGGAGTAGAGGGAAGGAACACAGGCCTTCAGGCAGGGCTTCTCCTGTGTAGCTACTGACCCCCATGTTTCCTACCCACCTTCTGAATGGTGCAACCCAACTTCATTTGTTTACTTGAAAATTCCCCTCAGAGTTGAGTGAACCTCTGAGGTGACTGTATTTTCTTCTAAGCTCAAGACAGGGGGCTGTGGTCCTTCCTTTCTCCTGAGGAGAAAGTCCTTGCTCTGGTGACCCATAAAGTTGCAGAGGAGATTGGAGTGAGAGTGTCATGTATTGGGATAGTCAGGGATCCCTGCCCTTAGCCTTTCTTCTTCCTCTTCCATAGTTGGATCATGTATATTTTACTTCCAAAGGAGAGAATGTTAAAATGTTCTGTATTTTTTTATATTCTATATAATTAGGTAGGTCAATCTTAATTGGTCTTAGGAGGAACTGTCTGTAACTTCTGTGAGTAGGAATATACTGTAAGATAGACCAAAAAAAGAAATGTGGAGGCTCTCCCACGTAGAAGGTCTGAACTTGGTCCTTTTCCTCTCTGGTTATAGTCTGGGCCACCAGCTGGGACCAGCCCTCAGCTCTAGAACCTTTATAAAGCAGGTCAGTATGGTTTGATTTTCCCAGTACCTAAAGAGAGCAAAGACAGCCCCAAGGCTGGTGAAGTCTACCATCAGGAAATCCAGAAAGTAGTCTTACCTTTTCAAAATCAATAAAGGCTGTTATCCACACATGACTGCCTCTCCTRTTATCAAGAAACTTAGCAGCCTGAATATTTTTGTGAGATCTGTTGTAACCTTCCCTGTTTGGGATCCTTGTATCTGGTTTGAGTTTGCCCCTCTTTATGACAATTTTAATACACATGCCTTTTCTTTCTCTCAGAGTAAAGCTAGTGCAGTGCCTCAGTGATTTTCCTGTGCCTCTGAATGGGTTATACATGATAGTAATCCCTGACTGTTGAGGTTGGGGGTGTAGGAAGTTGTCAGCTTAGTGTAGACCAGCTATGGTGCTGATGGTACAATCTGCCCTGCCCCTGCATCCTCACTGTGGTTAGTCAGAAGTGTCTTGCCCGGCACTGCACTTCTTATCCCCTTTTGGCTCAGGTAAAACACTATACCCCTCTGCTTATAGATCTAAAGTTCAGGTTCTTATTGTCAACCATTGGTGTTGAATTTGTCCTTGGCTTCTATCTTTGAGGTCTCGCTTTAGAGAAAGGTAGTTTAGGGTTGGTAGTTGATACGGAAAAAAATATACCAATGTTATACTGTTTTGAGGCAGATACCACTCATCAGCTTAGCAAAAATTGCTACCAACCCCCAATCTCTTAGGAAGGCAAAAGGCAGGAGCTTTTCCATTTACCCTGCTGCCTCCATTACAAAACTGTCCTATAGTTAACAGAAAAGCCTACCAGTCGTAGAGTACTTGCCTTACATGCACAAGGCCCGGGGTTCAATCCCCAGCACCACAAAAGAAAAAAAAGAATAGCCTACCACCACCATTGGCTTTGTCCAAAGGGCAGAGCAATTTTAGTAGGATCTACTTTGTACCTCTCAAACAATGGTTAAGTCCTTGACRTCGAAGCTACAGTCTTATTGTGAGACATAAATGTCGTGCTTTCCCAACTGTTCCTTCAAAATTATTTTAATTTCAGATCTGGATTCTGTACCAGATGAAGACTTTGTTGGTCATCTGTCTCCTGCGTAAAACCAGTTTTCTCCAAAGACTTCAAAGGCTGAATTCTATTGGGGGCACAACTCGAGGACAGATTTCAGAGAAAAGTGAACTCTAAGCGCCTTGTGTCTTCCCTGAACCTTGTTTTCTCCTTAGTCTTCCTTTCTGTCCACAGAAGCAGTTACATCATCTTTTGTATCTCCTCCTCTCCTTTGGTCATCTTTAGAGAGCCAGTCTTTGTGGACAACCCCCATCTGGACTCCAGCCCTTGACCTAAGTGAGGGCAAAACTTTGTTTCAAATTTCTGAATGTTATTACCAGGATGAAGGGGCTCCCCAGACCACTGTAGAAGCTAGAAAAGCCAAGGCATGTTTTTGGAATCCTTGTATGTTGGCACATGGTTCATATATCCATTTTAAGATCTTAGTCCATGTATTCAGATACTATTTTGAATAATGCCAGCTATTCTTTATTGCCACCCCCTCTAGGCATCCCATCCCCAAATCTTTTCTGGTATAGGGTGTATGGTCTTAGAAGTCTGTCTTCAGTTGCCAGCCATCCCTGTCTGGACTTCATAATGGCTGCAGCTTTCTGACAGAACCATATGGGTTCCACCCTCAGCTTGCCAGCCTGGTTACTTGGGTCTCTGGGCATAAATGAACCTTCCAAGGAGCAGGTAACTTCAGCTTGCAGAGACCGTTGGGGTTTCCCCTTACCTGGATCTCGCAGAGATCTACTGCTTCAACCCTCTTTGCCCTGGAAGCCATGTCCCAGAAAGCTAAACTGCACAGATTATAGCTGCTATTGTTCTTAGTTAAGGGAGAAGAAAAGGACTCTTAGGCACAGACTCTTTCTCTCAAGCCAAACCAGTTCAAAATGAAAACTGTTCAGCAGACTGTACTATATTTTCATTTTCTCATGTCTACCTGCTTGGAAAGCAGGAAACTACCCATGGAAATCACCCCATGTGCCCCTCTTTGAAGGCCCCAGCTCTTTTGTTCAGGCCTCATCTCTTTTCCCCTAGGCTCACTCAACTTTGTATCCATTGTCTTGGAATCCCTCAGTAGATTCATTTTGTGGGTTCAGATTCTAGATTTTCTGTTGAAGGCAGGGAGCCAGTTTCTCCAGGTTGCTCTAGGCACTCCAGAGATTCAAGAGGAAGGACAGGCTAGCTGAGGGTTCCCTGGAAGGCTGGGGAAGGGTGCAAGGTTTAGTGCACTGAACCAAAGGAAATGCTCATAACCACCAGCAGATTCTTCCAGGTAGTAACACCTTGGTATTGAGGGTAAGGCTAAGACTGTTCGGAGTTGATTTTGCAAGGCCATTTAAGATTGCACATTCTAGACCAACCTTGTCCAGTATTTTACCTTTTGGATTGATTGTTTTATTAAACAAGCTGAGATTTGGGCACTGTATGAATGGATCTGTGAATGGGTGTGCATTAGCTGTTCTGTGGCCAACACCTTTGTAAATGATGCAGTCATCCTATTATCTATCCTCTAGCCCCACCCCTGAATAAGACCATAGCAAGAGCTGGGTGCAGTGGAGGCTGAAGCGGGGGGAATCTCAAATTTGAGTCCAGCCTGGGCAACTTAAAGGGACCCTGTCTCAAAGACCAAAAAGGCTGGTGGTATGAACTCCTGAGTTCTGACCCCAGTAAAACACCAATACCAAGACAACAGAAGAATTTGATGTCAAGAACAACCAAATCTGTCAAGTAAAACTCATTTTCCTCTGAGAGGGAATTTTGCTTCAGGTCTGAACTACATGCAGGACCAGAGCTGGCACTGAAAAAAGCAGCAGAATTAAATTTGAGGGCCCAGAAACACCCTGGGAGAAAGGTTTGTGTGGTTTCTCTGCAGGGACTTAGGCCTACTGCCTACTTTTGGGCCAGCATGACTTCTGATGCCCACATTAGCACATTACCAGAATCCTTCTGCTACACACTAGCCCTGCCTGCTTGTGTAGATTCACTTTTCAGCGCTGGTTTTGAGAAACCTGGAAGCCATGCTCAGGGGTCTGTGAAAGAAGGCCGAGCTCAGATCCTGAGACTGTGGGAATCTCTGACTCAGTATGTCTTAAAGAGCCCACACTACGTAAACCCTCAGACCCAAGTTTTGGGTATTGGCTTTTTTAGCCAGCTTTTGTGGGAACTGCCTTACAAAACAAGGGAAGGGGACATGAGGTCTCAGCCACCCAACAAAAAGATAACCCCTAAGGTACAGCTTGGGTTTCTCGCCAAGGACCCTAAGAAGGTGAATCAAATCCTCCTGTTTTTCTTTCCAAAAAACTCATTTGCTTTTATTTTTCTAAGAACTGTAAACTCTGGCCATTTTCCACATTCTCAGGGCCCCTGGGTAGATAGAAAAAGCTTCATGATTTCAGAGCAGACATAGGCCAAGAAACCATGGCATTGAGTGTGCTGAGCCCAGACAAATGATATTTATATACACATCCAAATTTGAAGAGAAAATGTATTTCTTTAGGTTTCAAACAAACACTGTAATAGATATAAAGCAAAAATAAAAACCTGTTGCAAAGTTCTAAATCGTCTTCTTTGGTTTGGAGTGATCCTAGAAGTGAACAAGGAGAATACGTTCTCATTTGTAACTCAGCAGTGGAGATAAGAATTRTACCAACTTGGGTGAAATGGTAGCACGCATAGGTGAATCTCCTCAGAGGCTCAGACAGGAGAAAAGCTTGAGCTTAGGAGATGTAGCCCAAAAGAGACACCAACCTGCTCCAACTATATTTAATTGGCTTTACTGAAATTTAATGAACTCATAAATTGTACATTTAAAGTGTGTGATTTGACAAGAGATACTTGTGCTCATGAAACCATCAGTACAATCAAGATAAACACCTCCATGACCTCCCCCCATATCCATGATTTCTAAAAGTTTTTATGTGCCCAGTTTAGATGTGGCATCCTCCAAAGGCTCAYAGTGCAAGAAGTTTCAGAGGAGAAATGATTGGGTTGTGAGAGCCTTAACCCAATCAGTGATTTAATCCCATGAGGGATTAACTGATAGCTGAAGGCTGGTAGGTTGTGATTGAAGGAGGTGGGCTTTGGGGGTGCGGCTCTGGGGGCATATATTTTGTACCTGGAGAGTGGAGTTCGCTCTCTTGCTTCATGGTGATGTGAGCTGCTTCCCTCTGCCACATTCTTCCACCATGATGTTTTGTCTCACCTCAAGCCCCAGGAATAAAGGCTGGCCTTCCATGGACTAAGACCTCTGAAACTCTGAGCCCTCAAGTAAACTTTTCTTCCACTACCATTGTGCTGGTCAGGTCATTTAGTCACAGCAACAAAAAAAGAGCTGACTAAAGCATGCCCCTTGGGAATTTCTGCTGCTTACACCACCCCAAGCAATCCCTGGTCTGTGTTCTGTCACTGTAGTTTAAAGAAATCCCAGAAAATGCAATCTAAAGTATTCTGACCACTCCAAATTCAGCACCACTCTACACTTCTTTTAAGACTGTTAAAAGTTCACAAATTCCTCCCTTTGGTTTAGATCAATTCCTAAAGTAGAGATTACAGTCAAGCAACCAGAAAATTGATTGAACTCACAAGGAAGATTSTGAATGGCAGATAAAATGATTAGTTGCCAACAAAAACATTGTTTTTGTTTTCTGCGCTGGAGATTGAACTCAGGGACTCTCATGCTAGGCAAGTGCTCCCACCAATAATCTACACCATGCCTAAATAAGTCTTGGAAAAGTACTACCTGGCAGTATTGGCCTGAGTTCCTGCTCAGCAAAACCTGCAAGAGCTGTTTTGTTTTACTATAATCAAGTCCACTGCCAACTGGTTCCTTAAGTCTAGCAGGTGCTAACATTGTGCATATATATTGCTTAATAGGAGAAAGTGACTTTTGTTTGGGAGGGGGATGCCACTGAAATGCATCCCCAGCTGTCTTGATTTTTCTTTTGTTTAGGGGGAGGGGCCWTAAGGGCAGATTGAACTCAGGGGCACTTAACCACTGAGCCACTCCCCAGCCCTATTTTGTATTTTATTCAGAAACAGGGTTTCACTGAGTTGCTTAGCACCTTGCTTTTTTGTTTGTTTTGTTTTAAATTTTTAATTATAGGTGGACACAATATCTTTATTTTTATGTTGTAGCTGGGTATCAAACCCAGTGCCTCATGCATGCTAGGTGAGCACTCTACCTCTGAGCAACAACCCCAGCCCCCAGTGCCTCGCTTTTTGATGAAGCTGGCTTTGAACTCACCATCCTCCTGTCTCAGCCTCTGGAGCTGCTGGGATTTCAGGACTGCCCCACCACACCCAGCCTTTGATCTTTCATTTTGAGACAGGGTCTGAAAGTTATTGTGGCTGGCCTCAAACTTGGATCCTCCTGCCTCAGCCTCCCAAGGAGCTGGGATTACAGGCCTGCACCACCACACTCAGCTTTTACTAGATTATCTGGTCTGTAACACCTACTTCCTATGGAAACCCATCAGGGCCTGATTTATATRTTGACCCTTCAGGACATTTCCAGACTTGTAGAGTGTTTGTCTAGTATGCATAAGGCCCTGGGTTTGATCCACAGCATTGCCTTGCCATGGGGAGGGACTTCCCATACATTTTTCTGGAAGTAATCAGGGACTTGGTTTTAACAGACCTGGATTCCAAATCTTTCTGAGCCTAGGTTCCATCATTATACTGTTATACCATGTTGCTTATCATCTCCTGGTAAAGGTGAATCTTAATCAGGTGCAGCGTTGCATGCCTGTGATCCCAGCCACTGTAATGCCAGCCAATTGGAAGGCTGAGGAGTATCTCAAGTTCCAGGAGAACCTTGGCAACATAGGGAGAGACAACCTGCCCCCTGCCTTACAAAGGGAAAAAAAAATAAATAAAAGCATCTTGGAGCTGCCAAAAACTTGAAGATTCTATAGAACATTGGACCTAAAATGACTCTGCACCATATTCAGRTAGAGGAAGGAAAAGCTGTACTCCATTTGTGTTCAATGTGTCAAAACGCATTCTACTGTCAAGTATAACTAATGAGATCATATTAAAAATGTTTTTTAAAAAGTCCTAAAACAATGACTATTTGGCACAATTTACAACATACTCTACCTGCAGCCTGGTGAGAACCTCTGGGACTAAAGCATTTAGCCACAGTTCTTGGAAAGTTCACTGACTTGTAAGTAAACAGTAATTTCAACACCACTACCGATGCTGTAATAGAACTCTATACACAGCTAGGGAGCTAGGAGAGATTACACAGCACTGGGAAGGCTCTGAAGTGACTTTTGAGCTGGACCTCATAAAGATTCTCTTTTTACACAAGGGCATTTTGGAAGAACACCTGCAAAAACCTGAAACACCCTGGAAACAGTGAAAATTGCAGCAAAAAAGACAGGGGATGGAGAGAACTGACTGGAAACAGAAACCAAACAGGAATTAAGTTCAAATTCCAGGTGTAAGATTTTGGGGCTTCATTACGTTATCTATAGACAGTGAGAATAAAGAATGAATCTTTCTTGGGAGAGAATGTTTGGCCTTTTTCAGCATTAGTTCATGTGCAACCTGAACTTTGTAGAGTGAGCCAAAGAAAACCCTTATGAATCTACCTGAGGCCAAAATGCTCATGCAAGGACCCCTTCCTAATAGATCGGCTGCCAACTGGTGATGGAGAGAGGAAAAAAATAATGTACTTTTACAAGTTACCTGAACTTCACTTTAGGGAAAGATGGCCATGGTGGTTATTTCTTCTCTGAGTAAAAGGCAGGGTAGCAAGTAGCTAAGATGGGTGTCAGACTTCCTGGTTTGAATCCCTGCTTTGGCCAGTCAATATTTATGTGGCCTTGGAAAAGTTTTCTAGCTTTTATCTTACTGTCCCCCACCCCCACATTACAGGACAAATATTATTTATCTGGAATAATTGGGGATGGTAAAGGTGAATCTTAGCTAGGTGCAGCGTCGCATGCCTGTGATTCCAGCCACTGTAATGCCAGCCAAATGGGAGGCTGAGATACTGGGAAAGCACACTATCGGCGCCCAAAGAACTGCTATTATAAGGCCTCCGGGGCGGTAAGGAAAAGAAAAAGAATGCCCACAGCAAACTAGTGATTAACCCTGGACTGCAGATCTGATTCCCCGCGCGGAACTCTCCCTCAAGCTCACAGATTTTCTGGGTAGTCAAGGATGTGTGTGGCCAAGGAAGAAGGGCTGATGGAGTTGTGCAGAAAACAAAAGGCAGGCGCAAGGGTTTGGGGGCCGAATCACAGTGTCTGCGCGATAGAAACGAGGCTGAGTGGGCACCCGTGGAGAATAACTGGCGCCTTTCGGACTTCCAAGGTATTCTGCCTCCCAGGACGAAAAGCCCTTTCTATTGCATCTTGGGAGCTGTGGCTAACCCCGATGCATGGAGGGACGGGTAGTCTTTCCCTCCTCTGCTTCCGCTACGCTCCCGCCTCAAAGGCCGCCTTCATCCATCTTTCCCAGCAAGCTCCGCGCCAGCGCCGGCCGCTGATTGGCTGCAGTAAGAGCAGGCAGCCTGCCGGCAGCGGTTACCCGGGGTTTCCGGTACTAGGCCAGAGCGGGGAACGCCGTCCGACGTCGGCGGTGAGGTGAGTACAGCTGCGGTCGGTAGGACGAGAGTGTCACAGGGCCTGTGGGCCCGGACACATCGGCTACTGGGGGAATCGCGTCAATTCCCTGCGTGGGCTGTAGCGAGGCGGTCGTCCTGCGCATGCGCGGGCGTTCGGCGCGGCTGAAGGGCGCGCCGGGCGTGGGTGGCTACGCGCGCGCGCGCGCGCAGCCCACGTGGGGCCTGGGGGGCGGGGGAGGGGGTCGGGACTCGAGCGTCCCGCCACGTCAGTCTGCGGCCGGGAGCCAATCCCGCGCTCGGATTGCGGTGAGGGGGCCGTGTTCGTGCCGGGAAGTGGCTCTGGGAGAAAAGAGGCCTCTTTCCTCACCCCCCTTCAGGAGCAGCGCCCCGACAGCCTGCCAGGGCCCGCCAGGGCCCCCCGACTGGCCAGAAACCGAGTACCATTGACTCCCTCCGGCCAGGTTGTTTGTTGGAAGAAGCTTTGTGCGCCTGGTGTTGGAATTTCTGGTCCAGGCTGCGAAGAATTTGGAAGTCTGGAAAATAGCAAGTGTGTGTGTTTCTAAAGGATCTGCCTCTAACCTAGCATTACAAATCACAATGAAGAACCAAGACAAAAAGAATGGGGCTGC